CCGGCCCTGCCGGCTCTCCCCGCCCGGCCCTGCCGGCCCTCTCCGCCCGGCCCTGCCGGCCCTCTCCGCCCGGCCCCGCGCTCCCGCGGCCGGCTGTGCGGCTGCGGCAAGCGGTGCCGCCTCGCCGCGGGAGCGGGGCACGGGGAAGCGGCAGCCGGCGCGGCAGGCAGGGAGATGCCCTCTCTCCCCCAAATTGCATCCTGTTCTCCCCTTCAGGTGGTTCCTTATCCACTCCGGGGCTCTGTGGCAGCGCGGGGCACAGTCGGCGGGGCGGTTCCGGTGGGTGTTTTCCAGAAAAATTGAAAAATTTCGTCAGAATGCCCTGGCTGCTCCCGCTGCCCGTTGGATGCGGACGGGGACCTCGCTGCCTTCCCTTCCCATGCAGAAGCGCCGCCGCTCACCTGCCCGTCCACTGCCGCCAGCTCCCGGCGCGGACAGCGGAGATCGTGCCTCTCCTGCCTGGGGGACCGCTGGATGCCCATAGGGAAGCGGCCGCTGCCCGGCACTGAACGCGACCCAGGGCAGCCCGGCTCTAGCCCTTCCCTCCCCGCCGCCGGAGCCCCCAGAGCGGACACCTCTCTTGCCTTCGAGGAACGCGGGCGAAACCCGGGAGACCGAGCCCGTCCGTGTCCGTGTCCGTGCCCGCCTCTGCGGGCCGGAGGAAGCCCCGGAGATAGGGGGGGACAACACATCCCCACGCTCGGGGCGCTCCCCACGGGCGCTCGAGGCGCGACACCCACGCGCGGCTCCTGCAGAGACGGCGTGATCCGGGGGGCAGCATCCACGCGGGAACATAGACATATTTATATCCATACACGTGTATACGCGCGGGGGAGCCGCCTCCCGCCCTCCCCGGGGGCCCGCAGCCCGGGGATCCGATCTGCCCCCGCGATTCCAAGCGCAGCCGGGTCTCCATTTTGGGTCTCCGAGCGGTGCCTGGGAAGCGGCAGGGATCCGCGGCAGCCCTGCCGCTAATGCCGAGTGACAAATCGCACTTAGGCGATACATGAACGAGAAAATGATTTATGGATTTTCACGACCGTCTGAGCCGATGAAGGCGACGTGAATTATCCATCCTAATGTGCAATATATCATTTTCTAATAACACTGGGTTGGCCCTAACGCTGTGCTCTGCTCCCTTCGATAGCATGTATCGATTCGGCACAGTCCGAGTGCCGGCTTTCCGCCGGACACGTACCTCCTGCAGCGCCAGCTGAGATCTGTGTATTTACCTCTTCCTAAAGCCCAGGGCTATGGACAGACCCCTGACACCGTGGCCTTTAGTTTTTCCATCTGGCATCATTTAATTTGGCAATTACTTTGCCGAATGAAGACTAATCTTTCGTATCACTGCGTTTCACTCTGTGCTGTGATTTGGAGATGGAAAGAGAGGATGCCAGGTTTGTAAATCCTCCGTGCTGATGGGAATGGCACCTGGGTGAGTCAAACCTTTCCCCCCTGCCAAATCCTCCTTGGCACCCCAAGTACAACAGGGCACTTTCTAACAGGGAGAACAGATGCTAAATCATACTTCTGCTCACACAGAGCTTCCCTGGCACATCCATTTACCAAATCTCAAGGAATATTTTAAAGACAAAATTTTTGCTTTTAACTCATACACAGTAGGAAGGTGAATCGTCCACACAAAACTGAATGCATGTGCATAAGAGGGGAAGAGTTGCCAGATCTGGAGGGTGCTCAGCCCCAGGTCCAGCATGTGCTGGTGCCCCAGGGCCAGGGCATCCCCTCTGCCCCAGCCAAGTTCTTTTGCCCTTCATCACAGAGTTGCAGTGAAGTCATGGTGACATAAACTATGAACAATCCCAATTATTTATCTAAATGGTTCCAAGTCTAAAATATCACTTTCACATTGAGAAGGACACGCAAGTTCTGGCCTTCCATGAGACAAAAAACCAGAGATGGGGAAGATGGAGATAAAGGATTAACACATTCATTTGGGGTAGGGCATTAGATAAGTGATTACTGGGGTAGGGGTGAGGAAATGCTTCATCTCTCATTAGCCAAGCACAGTTTTTCCATTGCTCAGTTTTTCCAATTGCCAGTTTAGTTAAGTCACCAAAATGGATGTTTGGGTTCTGTTTTATGTTCAGTCTTAGTTTCAGGCTGGGGAACACTGTGGCCTCTTTACTATCTGGATGTTAAAAACACATCAAGAATTGGCCTCCTTTGTCCCTCAAATGTCCTAGATTGCTATTTTTAATATGAATTATCTTGGTTAAAAAAAAACCCCAAAAACCAAAAAAAAAACAAAAACAAAAACACCCAAAAAACCAAAAAAAAAAACCAAAAACAAAAACAAAAAAAAACCAACCCCAAAACAAAACAAACCAAAACAAAAACAAACAATAATAAAAAAAAAACCAAAACAAAAAAAAAACAAAAAAAACCAAAAAAAACAAAAACAAAACACCAAACCCATGCAGGAAATTCTATCCTCAAGGAAATGACAGCTCATGGTACAGGAA